AAAAAAAAAAAAAAAAAGATGCAGGAATTTGTTGTTTTGGATTTTGCCTGTTAAATTTTTCTTCCCACCCCCACCCCCTCACCCCCACCCCGGTTAGCAAGTATTTATTTGGGAACGTGAAAGAAAATTTTGCCGCTGGGCATTCCTCTTTAAGGAACAGAGACGTTCCTTAAATGTTGGGGGAGGGGTGCGGGTATTTACTTGGGGCTTGTGTAGGGCGGGGGTGGGGGGGAGGCCCAATCTGGCCCCAAATTCCTGAGCGCCCAGGGCACTGGCTTTTGCTGCGGGATCTGGGCTCCCAGACTTTACACCTAGAGTTCCAGTCGGGCCTGAGCTTCCCGGCCTTGACGGAGCATCTGGGGCTCCAGAGGGCTGTATCCTCAGGAGGTGTCTGGTCTTGCTGGTTCAGCAAGCTTGATAAGCATGAAGCTTCTGTCTTTGGCGGTCTTGGGCGGGGGTTTGCTGGTGCCCCCAGCTCAAGCCAACAAGAGTTCTTAAGATATCCGGTGCAAATGCATCTGTCCACCTTATAGAAACATCAGTGGGCACATTTACAACCAGAATGTATCTCAGAAGGACTGCATCTGCCTGCACGTGGTGGAGCCCATGCCTGTGCCTGGCCATGGAGGCCTACTGCCTGCTATGTGAGTGCAAGTAGTCTACCTGTCCGTGGTGGGGGCCCTTTTGTTGTACATGGCCTTCCTGATGCTGGTGGACCCTCTGATTGGAAAACCAGATGCTTACACTGAACAACTACACAACGAAGAGAAGAATGAGGATGCTCTGTCCCTGGCAGGTCCCTGGCAGCGGCTGCTGCATCCCTCAAGAGCGCGCGCACACACACACACACACACACACACACGCACACACACACGCACACACACACACTCGCCCAAACACCGTCCTAGAGCTGTGGAGGGTGCTCAGCAGCGGTGGAAGCTGCAGTTTTCGATCCTCACAAAATGCTCAGCTAGTGGGGCAGCTCGGTCAGGTCAAGGACCCAGGTTGTGGCTGCCAAATTCCAGAGCAGCAAGGAGCCAGGGGCCACTTTCTATTTTCCCTCAGCCAATCTTCCCTGGGTCTTCCCTGTAAAGGCTCATGGCATCTTCCTGTCTCCCTGTTTGGAAATGTTGTACCCAACCGTTTTAATTAGGGACTGTGATGGGTCTCTGATCTCTTTTGTCTCAGATCTTTGGGGTAGAGGGGGAGGGGAAAGGAAGTCCAGAAAGGAATGGAGATTATCCAAGGTGGCCTCAGGGTTGGGTGGCATCTGTCCCTTCTGGCTCCACATCTTGGGGATGTGGAGCCCTTTGCAAGATGAAGCTGTGTCATCATTGGGTGGGAGCAGGGCCCAGCATTCGGCAAGTGCTCCTGTCTGCAGCGGCTCTTCCTCCACCTCCCTTCCAGCCCCTGTACCTCTACCCAAGTCTAGCCAGTGCCACTGAGCTTATGGAGGTCTTCAGGGCACTCTGGGAACTTGGCTCCTTCTCCCTGGCCTCCTTGTCCCGGATGCATGGCGGTGCCCGTGCATCCTGGTGCCCTGCAGCCTGCCTGCTCTGCAGCCTGCCTCCCCGCTCCACACCAGGAGTCCGGGCAGGCTCTCAGCCCTCCCCAGTGTCTGCAGTTGTTGAGCCCGACAGTGGACTTTAATACCAAAACTCCTGTCCTTGGATTGCCAGTTGTCCCTGAATTTCATTGTCCCAGTGCATGGAGAGAAACTTTGTCCCTCTGTTGTCTTAGAGTTGTCTGTACATCAAGGAAGCCATCATTAAATTGTTTTATTTCTAAAAAAAGAAAAGAACAGGGCAAAGCTAGAGGGCGTGGCTAGAAGGTCCACACCAGCAATGATGTGAGGAACTGAAAGAAATCCCAAGTATGGCAAGCAGAGCTTGCCATGTCGCTGCTGCATGGCCCTTCTGTGCATTCCAAGTGATCCGAAATCCCGCCTGCAGCCTGGGGGTCCCAAGCCTGGGCGCCGTTCTGTCTTGAGTGTTTTTCATGTTTGTCCATCTTAAGTTAGAATATTGGCAGTCCTGTCTGGAACCCGCCAGGCTGAGGACAGACACACTGGCCCAAGCCCCACCAGGCCAAGAGCTGCAGCAGCCATGGTCCTGCACTAGTCACTCTGGGCCCTAGAAATCASAGTTCGCCCCCAGAACTTCCCCAGCTGCTTGCATTCTGCCTGCTCTGGGAGCTGCTGCCCTTATGGTTACGTCCATCTCGGGTGCTACTATGAGGGATCTTCCTAATAGAGCAGAAATATTGTGCGATCTGTTGTTGCGGAAGAGCTATGGATAGTTCGAAACGCCAAACCTAAATCCCCCTGGCTACCATGGCGAGAGAAGACCCTCAAGTAATTCACAGATGGCTTCCTGCACATAAGAAAATAAAAAACTGCAGGAAGCCAAGTTTGGAGTGATTATTATTCTTCAAGAGACACTAGGAATACCAAGCCTACAAAAGTTTGATACTAAACATTTCCCTGCCTCTTTCTAGGAATTTACTATAACTAGTACATTGATGAGCAATGCAACCTCTGTACACTAGACTATTTCCTTAAATTTGAGTGGCATTTCTGGATCAATAAGAACATGTATTTAACAGATATATATTTACATTGTCAAACTTATCCAAAGCAGCTTAATCAGTTTTCACCAATCACTTTTTGAGTGGCCAATTCAGTGATATATTTTTTTGTCATAAAGGCTCAAGTAATAATGTATGCAACAGGTACTACACCATTATTCTGTGATTTGGCTTTTTTCCCTCTTAATGTCTGAGAAATATTTTCCTGTCAATTCATACAAATGAAACCCATCAAAATATTAACTGATTTGGCCGGGCATGGTGGCCCATTCCTGTAATCCCAACCACTAGGAAGCTAAGGAAGGAGGATTACAAATTCAAGGACAGCCTCAGGCATTTAGCAAGGCCCTAAGCTTCTCAGAAAGACCCCATCTTTCTGTGGTTCAGTGTTAAGTGTCCCTGGGTTCAGTCCCTGGTACTCACCCCCCAAAATAAAAACCTGACTTAATGATAAATAATAGCACGATAGTTCAAAGAATGCCTGTATCTTAATAAAACCACTGCCCTGAAAACAAGCATTACAACAACTCCAACTTTTCATTGCTACAATGCTATAAAAACATTTTTTTAATTTAAAAAAATGAAAAGTAAAAATACTTTGGAGGGATGGGTAACAGAGATTCAACTCAGGGTCACTAGGCCATTGAGCCACATTCCAAGCCTATTTTATATTTTATTTAGACATAGGATCTCAATGAGTTGCTTAGCACCTTACTTTTGCTGAGGCTGGCTTTAAACCTGCAATCCTCCTGTCTCAGCCTTCTGAACTGCTGGGATTACATGTGTGCACCACCACGTCCAGCTACCATCTTTAGTTTTTATTAGATATTACTAAGTAGAAAGAAATGTTAAGTTAAAGGGAAAAGTGGGTAAGTCGAATTATTCTTCTCACCACCAAGCACATTATTCACAATTCCTTCAATAATATGTAAATATACCAAAGTTCTTGTACCCTTAAAAGCACAAGATAGTTTCACTGATTTTCGCCAAACAGGTGCTCCCAAATCTGATTCACAGATCACTGTATTTGGCCATTTCTTTTTATTTTAACCATTTATATTTCTTTCTTGATAACTGCACAATAGTTTCCAAGACCACATCTCTGCTAGGATTTATCTCATATATATATATATATATATATATATTTTTTTTTTTTTGGTAGTTGTAGGTGGACAGAATACCTTTATTTTATTTTTATGTGGTGCTGAGGCTCGAACCCAGTGCCTTGCAGATGCTAGGCAAGCGCTCTGCCGCTGAGCTACAGCCTCAGCCCTGTCTCACATATTTTTAAGCTCTCTCTAGTATCTGTTAAACATGTAGTGGTAATACTTTCCCCATTTCTGACTTTTTGTGTTTCAATATTGTGAAGTCTCTGGTTATGAACAGCTTTTAGTGTTTATGTAAAATATATCTTTTGTTTGATTTTTATAGCTTCTAAATTTTCTGTTTTAGAAAACTATATTAAGCCAGATGTGATGGCACATGCCTATAATTCCAATAACTTGGGAGGCTGAGGCAGGAAGCTTGCAAGTTTTGCAAGGTCCTATTCAGAGCTCTACCCCATTTTTTTCAACTGGTACACAGTATTCTTTTGTAACTATTCCCATGTTGATAGACACTTAGATTCCAAATACTTCATTCCTGCAAACCACACTACAATGAACATCCTCACAAGTAACTTCTCCCAGAGGTACACAGAATATTTTTTCAAATATGTAATTTATTAAATGTCTCCTCTAATGATAGGAAGGAATAAACCACTCCTGCATGAGTTACCACACTAACATTAGACTGCTCTTTCTTGATAATGAATTTTCTTATGTTGTTTAAGGGCTGAACTCGTTCCCCCATTCATTACATTTGTAAGGTTTTTCTCTGGTATGCAGCCTCTGATGCTCAATAAGACCTGAGAGGTGCCAAAACAACTTCCTACACTTCTTATATTGATAGGATTTTTCTCCAGTATGAATTTTCTGATGTCCAGGAAGGGTGAGGTCTTCATGAAAGCTTTCCTAGTCTTTACAGTGATAGGGTTTATTTCCACTAAGTCTTTTGATGATAAATCAAAGATGAGCGGTACCTGAAAGATTTCCCTCATTGATTACAGTGATAGGGTTTCTCTCCTACATGCATTCTTCGATGATTATTAAGAGCTGAGCTCTTCCAAAAAGCTTTTCCACATTCATTACACATATATGGTTTCTCACCAGTATGGATTCTTTGGTGTTGCCATATAGTTGATCTATCCCTGAAAGCTTTCCCACATGAGTTACATTTAAAAGGTTTCTCTCCACTATGTATTCTTTTGTGCTGAGTAAGGGATGAATTCTGAGCGAAGACTTTCCCACAGATTTCACATTTGTAGGGTTTCTGGCCAGTGTGAACTCTCTGATGACTTAAAAGGATAGAATTCTTTCTGAAAGCTTTTCCACATTCATTGCATTTATGGGATTTTTCTCTAGATTCATTCTTCTGATGGTTAATAAATGTTGATGGTTTCTTGAAGAATTTCCCACATTTACTACATCTATAAGGTGGACTGCCCAAATGAATTTGATGATGATTTAAAAGAGATGAACTGCTCATAAAAGCTATCCCACATTCTTTACATTTATATGGTTTCTCATGAATGTGGTTTCTCTGGTGGCTAATAAAGGAGGTGTTATATTTGAAGACTTTCCCACATTCCTTGCATTTATAGGATTTCTTCTCTGTGGAGTTTCTGCTCTCCCAATCCAGGCCTCTTTCCAACATGAGAGTTTTTGCTTGCTCTCCAAGAACAGATCCTTCGGAAGGATTTTGCCTTAGGGCTGACATCTTTGTTTTAGGCCAATACTCTTGGACTGAAAGAAAATTTTAAGAATTCAAATGTCCTCTTTATTAGCAAACTGAAAATGAGAGTAATGTTCTATTCTGCATGACTAAGAGATAAGTAAAATTATCAATGTGTCTCGTTTGTGATTCTTTTTTTTTTTTTTTAAAGAGAGAGTGAGAGAGGGGAGAGAGAGAGAGAGAGAGAATTTTTAATATTTATTTTTTAGTTCTCGGCGGACACAACATCTTTGTTGGTATGTGGTGCTGAGGATCGAACCCGGGCCGCACGCATGCCAGGCGAGCGCGCTACCGCTTGAGCCACATCCCCAGCCCCTCGTTTGTGATTCTTGCTGAGATGGCAAGAGTAATGACAGGAAAAGTAGGATTCAGTAAGAAACAGAAGAACTTTAAACATGAATATAGAGCACCTAAGAGGTTGATAAGTTAAGAAAATAACACAGAAAACAGCAGAGGGGAGGGGAGGGGAGGCAAGGGGAGGGAAAGAAAGAAAAAGAATGTGAGAGGGGCTGGAGTTGTGGCTCAGTGGTACAGCGCTCACCTAGGACACGCAAGGTGCTGGGTTTGATCCTCAGCACCACATAAAATGAAATAAAGGTATTTTGTCAAACTAGAACTAAAAAAAAAAAAAAAGTGGCTGGGATTGTGGGTCAGTGGTAGAGCGTTCACCTAGTACGTGTGAGGCCCTGGGTTTAATCCTCAGCACCACATATAAAAAATAAATTAAATAAAAGGTATTGTGTAAAAAAAAAAAAGTGAGGATAAATGCAAATTTGGGAGGAAAACCAAGTGCACAAAGCAAGCCATGATAACTAAACTCTTGTCAGTAGGATATTTGAGAACTTGAAAATTACATTTTTCTGAGAATTCAACAATATGCCAAATTTACTGTCTTGGAGGACAAAAAAATTAAGGAAACAAAACAGTTCTCGGGCCAAGAATTTATTATAACAATCTAAATTTCTAACATGAGGTGAGCTATGCGATTTTCCTCTAGCTGCTTACAGTTAACAGACCAACAGAAACTAAGCAAAATGATTTTGACAAGAATGTTTTTAAAAAACTAATGCAGCCAAACTTGTGAAATCAACAATCACTGACCAATTCTTTTACTGAATGCATTGGGGAATGGGGGGGAATACTGGAGATTGAACGGAGGGAATAACTGAGCTATATCCCAGCTATTTTTATTTATTTTTTGAGACAGCATCTCAATAAATTTCTTAGGGTCTCATTAAATTGCTGAGGCTAGCCTCAAACTTGCGATCCTCCTGTCTCAGCCTCACAAATCACTGGGATTACAGGTGTGTGCCACTGTACATGGCATGAGAACAAATTTTTCTTACAAAATAATATAGATAAATAGATATTGTATCTGTATATATTATACCTATAGATATTATGTCCACTATATATCCTTACTTGTATTTATATGTTTATTAGTCTAGAGAAAAATTATATACATCATATACTAACACTAAGACTTATTTTTCAAAGAAATGTAAGTTGAAGGTAAACCTCGGTAAGAAAAAAATCCTGCTCTGTGTAGTTAAATTAATGTGTGATGATTTAACTAGAGAAATTTCCAAGGTACTAATTGCAGAATAGGTGAAGTTAAATTAGTTATATGAAGAGAAAGATGAACATGAACACTTTGTGACAAAGGTAGCACACAAATTGATGAGGAAAAGGAAACTCTTCATTAACACATTTTTGGGGAGAAATAGTAAACATGAAATCTACTCCATACAATGCACAAAAATCCTTTCTAAAAGAATGATAAATCTAAATGTAAAATACGAACTATAGGACTGGGGTTTGGGCTCAGTGGTAGCCTAGCACATATGAAGCACTGAGTTCAAGCCTCAGCACTGCATAAAAATAAATCAATAAAATAAAAATAAAGGTATGCTGTCCATCTACAGCTAAAAAAACATACATATTAAAAAAAAGACAAACTATAAAGTTTCTAAAAATCACATAGTATAATTCCTTCATGAACATGGGGAAAGGAAATAAAAACACGAAGAACACAAAAATAATATTGTTTTAAAAAAGCAGACACACAAAAAAAATCAATGACAAAAAAGGGAATGAATGATAAACTGGGAAAATTTTCTATTCATCACAAGTCCATTAACTGTAAAAGTACAAACCAGAGAGAGGGATGATACCACACATGTAATCAAAAATGGGTATTTGGGGGCTAGGGTGGTGACTCAGTGGTAGAGCGCTTATCTAGCATATATGAGGCACTGCATTTAATTCTCAGTACCACATAAAGATAAAAATAAAGGTATTATGTCCATCTACAGCTAAAAAATATTTTTTAAAAAATTAAAAAGGGGCATTTTGACAGCATACTACAGTGATGTGGCCATATCAATGTTTCTAGCAACTCAATTCAGAATAGCTAAGCTATAGAATCAACCTAAGTGCCCTTCAACAGATGAATGGATAAAGAAAATATGGTACATATATGTAGTGGAATATTATTCACCCTTAAAGAAAAATGAAATTATGGCATTTGCAGGTAAATGGATAGAGTTGGAAAATATTATGCTAAACAAATTAAGCCAATCCCAAAAAAAACAAAGTCTAAATGTTTTCTCTGATATGCAGATGCTGATCCATAATGGGGGGAGGCTAGGGAAAAATGGAGGATCTTTGGAGTGGGCACAGGGAAGTGAGGGGAAGGAGGGGGCGTGTAGAGATGGAAAAGATGGTAGAATGAGACGGACATTATTACCCTATAATACATGTATAATTGCATGAATGGTATGACTCTGCATCATGTACATCCAGAAAAATGAGAAATTGTGCTTCATTTATGTACAATGAGTTGAAATGAATTCTGCTATCATGTTTAAATAATGAGGACAAATTTTTAAAAAATATGTAATGGAGATTAAAGCAGAACTTTCAAAACAATTTTTTTAAAATTTTGAAATAAAGTCTTGCTAAATTGCCAAGGCTGGCCTTGAACTTTCAATCCTCCTGTCTCAATCTCCCCAGTCATTGGGATTACAGGCATGTACTACCACACACGGCTCAAACAATGTATTTTTAAACTCAGAGTCAGTTAAGTGAAATAATAGTCAGTGCAATAGTTAAATACAAATTTATTTAAAAACTGTTCACTCTGATATATAGATGCTAACTCTGATATACAGATGTTCACTCTGATATATAGAAGCTGGGCAGGGGCATTAGAAGTTCAATGGATTAGATAAAGGGGAATGAAAAGAAAGGAAGGGAAATACGGAAAGGAAAGACAGTAGAAATTGGACATTATTTTCCTATGTTCATATATGAATAACCAACCAGCATAACTCCACATCATGTATAACAATAAAAATGGGAAATTATACTCCACGTATGTGTAATACGTCAAAATACATTCCATTATCATGCATAACTAAAAAGAACAAATAAAAAAATTTTTAAAGGGGCTGGGGATGTGGCTCAAGCGGTAGCACGCTCGCTTGGCATGCGTGCGACCCGGGTTCGATCCTCAGCACCACATACAAACAAAGATGTTGTGTCCGCCGAAAACTAAAAAATAAATATTAAAAAATTCTCTCTCTCTAAAAAAAAAAAAAAAAAAATTAAAAAGAATGGGAATTTTGAATAACTATTTAATAAAATAGCCAACAGACATTTAAAAATGTCTTTAACCTCATTAGATATCAAAGGTATAGATATTAAAACCACAATGGATGGGTATGGAAAGTTAAACCCACTGCATAGCCAACTAGAATGATTAACTTCAAAAGACTGACAATATTAAGTGTTAACAAGGATAGAGAATAGAATTTGTAATAGACAAATTCTAGAAAATCCCTAACATCTGCCTAAATATAGGTGATAAACTGCAGTATAGCCAAACAATGAAATACTCTATAGGAACAGTTTTCATAGCATGATCCTCACATCAACCACAACAGCACACCTGAGAACACACTGAATAATGAGGTAGGGGCAACAATTTTACTCCAACATGTAATTTAATACATGCAAGAATTTTAATAATCACTGATCTCCAACAAAGAAATTAATGAAAACTTGGGCATGGTAGTGCATACCAGTAATCCCAGCCACTCAGGATTACTAAATTACACTCYAGAACAACAACAAAAAAGGAAGGGCTCGGAGAATAGCTTAGCTCAATGGTGGAGTACATACATGGCACACACAAAGGCCCTGGGTTCAATCCCCAGCACCAAAAACAAAAGAAAATGTGGGGCTGGGATTGTGGCTCAGTGGTACAGTGCTCGCCTAGCACATGCAAGGTCCTGGGTTCGATCCTCAGCACCACATAAAAATAAATAAATAAAATAAAGTATTGTGTCCAACTACAATTAAAAAATATATATTTAATAAAAATTAAAAAGAAAATGTAAATATATTTAAATATAAGTATAAACATTTGAATACAAGATTAGCAAACATGATTATCCACTGGTATATTAGAATAATGTAATACACCATGACCAAATGAACTTCTAAAAAAAATGCAAGGTCACTAACTGAAAATGAAATTTACCATACTAACACAAAAGGGAGAAAACACATTACTTCCATAAATGCTGAAAAAGCACTTAACAAAATCAGCAATTATGCTTGATTTGAAGAAAAAAAATTTCTTGGGGGGATCAGAATATAACTCAGAATAAAAAATACTGAGTGGGCTGGGGTTATGGCTCAGTGGTAGAGCACTTGCCTAGCATGTGTGAGGCACTGGGTTCAAACCTAAGCACCACATAAAAATAAATAAACAAAATAAAGGCATTGTGTCCATGTGCAACAACAACAAAATTTTTTTTAAAAAAAGGGCTAGGGATGTGGCTCAAGCAGTAGCGCGCTCGCCTGGCATGCGTGCAGCCCGGGTTCGATCCTCAGCACCACATACAAACAAAGATGTTGTGTCCACCGATAACTGAAAAATAAAATATTAAAATTCTCTCTCTCTCTCTCTCTCTCTCTCTCCCTCTTTAAAAAAAAATCTTAAAAAAAAGAATACTGAGTTATTACTGTCAAAGTATAAAGAATCTACACAATAACTTGTGGAAGAAATTATACACAGCAAAAATAAACGGAATTATTTCAAAAGCATTCAAAACACCCTCCTCCACCTCCCATAAATGCTATTTGTCTCTGGTATTTTCCATGAAGTACAGTTATAAAAGTTCCCCTGAAAATAATATAAGCAAAAGAATTATTTGAAGGCCAGGCACAGTGGCACACGACTGTAATCCTAGCAATTTGGGAGTTCAAAGCAGGAGGATGTCAAGTTGAAGGCCAACCTTAGCAACTTAGCAAGGCCCTAAACTATTTGGCAAGAACTTGTCTTAAAATAAAAAAAAAAAAAGGATGGGGTAAGCACCCCTGTGTTCGATCCCAGGTGCCAAAAACTAAAATAAATAAAAATTTAAAAATAAAAATAAATACACCTTTTTCTTTAAATAAAAGTTGTGAGTTAAATGTCCTTTATATACATATAGGTATCCAAACCTAACAGCCAGTTCAACTGAAGAATCCTAGACACAATCCACTAAAGATACAAAAAGACCAGCATAACCATCATTACCATTCTAGTTGACAATACAAAGTAAAAGACAATACTAAGTAAACCTTTCTTAAAATTTACAATATGGCCAGGCATGATGGCTCATGCCTGTGATCCCAGCATCTCAGGAGGCAGAGGCAGAGGATCACAAATTCAAACCCAATCTCAGCAACTTAGGCCCTAAGCAACCCAGCTAAACTCAGTCTCTAATAAAACACAAAATAAATAAAATACAAAATAAATAAAATACAAAAAAAAAAAAAAAGGGCTGGGGATGTGGCTCAGTGGTGAAGCACCCTTTCAATCAAGAAAGGAAGGAAGGACGGAAGGACAGACAGAAGAATGGACAGAAGGAAGGAAGAAAATGACAGCTCTAAATGACATAACTATATGAAATGATTTCCAAAATATGAGTGACAAAAGTAAGATGTAAAATAGTGTGCTACCATGTGCTTAAAAAAATGAATATACAGCGAGGCATAGTGGTGTAAACCTATAATCCCAGCGGTTCAGAAAGCTAAGCAAGAGGATCTCAAATTCAAAGCCAGTGTCAGCAACTTAACCTCAAAATAAAATATTTTTAAAAGGCCCAACAGCTCAAGAGGCTGAGGAGGAGAATTGCAAAGTTCAAGTCCAGCATCAGCAACTTAACAAGGCCCTAAGCAAGTCAGCAAGACCCTGTCTCAAAATAAAATATAGAAAAGTGGTTAAGCGCTGCTGGGTTCAATTTCTTATAGCAAAAAAAAAAAAAAAAAAAAACATATATTTCACACAGAGCACCCATATCTAGAAATTTCCACGTGAACCTTACACAGGTTGCCTCTGGGGAGTGAAACTGTGTGATCAGAAAGGTATGTGAAGGATACTGCACAAAATTTAAACCCATTGGAAATTTATACCATAAGTATTTCTAAATTCTAGCAAAGAGAGGGAAACATAGAAAAAGAAAAATTAGGACAAAGCACCAAACAGTGGTTAAGTCTTTGCAGAAACATTTATTAGTCCTCTAAATTGATAAAACAAATATCAAAGGTATCAAATCAATAAAGATAATATGTGCTATAAAAAATATTAAAAAACTAAAATATCAGAGCTGGAATTGTGGCTCAATGGCAGAGCACTCAGCTAGCATGTTACATAAACAATAAATAAATACCGGAGGAAACAGCTAGMTTATATTACATCTAAATTGTAAACATCCTATTTCAAATAACAACCAAAATTAAATCAGAAAGACAGACTAAGGAATTCCGAATTATAATGTCAATATATAAAGAACCTACACAATAATCTGGGGAAGAGAGGAAATTATACAGCAAAAATAAAAGGAATTATTTCAAAAGCATTCAAAACACCCCCCTCCACCTCCCATAAATGCTATTTGTCACTGGTATTTGCATGAAGTACAGTTATAAAAGTTTCCCTGAAAATAATATAAGCAAAATTACCTGAGGGAACCTCTTGCACCTCCATCCAAGGCTCCTCTCCTTGCTCCAACTGAGTAATTAGTTTGGGTTTGGAAGAGAGAAGCCCTATTCATAGAGAAAGAAAAGCAAACTGACCATGGTTATGAGCCCAAGGAATCATCCCAGACCTCAATATAAACTGGAAGGTCTAAAGGGTCAGGGAAGCCTAGAAGATAGTTTTAAGCATGCCTAAGTATGTAGTAACATAACTAGAGGAGGTAAAATCAATTAGAACTGGGTCCTTCTTATAGATGAGAAACTCCTATATTTGGAGGCAGATAAGTTTTAACATGAAAGTCAGAGAAATGAGCTAGTCTGAACAACAATGTTATCCATCTTAAATTCTATGACTCTGATCTCCCTGAGGAGTGGAAGGACTCCAGCATCTAAGCCCATGTTTTGTTTTGTTTTGTTAAGTCATTTAAGATTTTTTAATATCCCACACCATGTACCTTATGAAAACACAAAGTTGTCCAGTAATCCAATTCTGAGTTCAGAAGAAAGATATCCTTACCCACAGACACCAGATTCCCATAGTTCTCCATCACCACATCCCTGTACAGGGCCTGCTGGTCAGCATCCAGGTATCTCCACTCCAGCTGGGTAAAGGTCACAGTGACATCCCCAAATGTCAATGACTCCTGCAAAATAAAACCCAATTCTGCTCATCTAGGAACCACGGTTTACATCCTCACCCCTGAGGCCTAGACCAGGATGACTTCACTAGAAAAGGAAAGCAAGAGGTTCAAGGCCAGCTTCTGGTAATTCAGACTGTGTCCTGGGAATCAGGAAGCTAGAAAACTGGGAGGGGTGGCTATAACACTCACCATGGGATCTTCCAACATGACAATCATGCTTTGGGGGGCCTGGCCTTTACTCATTTCTCCCTTCATTGATGATTGCTTCTGTTGCCTCTTCTTTTTTCTCCATCACATTCTTTACCCAGAGCCTTGCTTCATTTTCCATCCTGTAATTTCTCATTACCTGACAGGAGAGGCTTGTATTTACTGCCAGTAACCTCTCAGATGTGAGTTCCATGGGGGTGAGTATTTCCTGGGTCACTGCTGGCTCCCTAGCCTAAAACACTGCCCAACACAGAAGTGTTCAGGATTTGTTCAAACAACAAATGAATAAACTGAAAGACATGGAAAATGATACTGGATTTCTCTCCAAAATTTACAGGAAGCATGGTCTGACTCTGGGGAATAATTTTTTAAAAGAGAAAAAAACTGTTTTCCAAACCAGTAACTCAATATACACTAAGATACAGTGCCAAGTTTTAAGAAATACATCATGACTCTGAATTTTCCCAATTGTATAGAGTACTACTATATATATTTCGTTTTGAGGTTTTGTTCTTCTTTTRTTATGGAGAGATTGCAATAAATCACTGAGTAGATCTTAAAGCAAGAGAAGGAACCATCTTTATTCACCAGTTGGTGGTCTGGATCCACCAGCTGGCAGGCTAAGGGGCAGACTGCAAGTCTACACACCCTTTGACATCCTTCCAGAGTTTGAGTACACCTTTTATAGTTCAAAACCATACTAATCATAAGTGGCTGTTGCTATGGTTCAAAACCATAAACAAATGTCATGAGATCTAAAAATCATAAGTAGAAGGAGAAATCAGTCAAAACAACCCTAGTTAAGTACAAATTAAAGAATGGTTACTAAGGCCTAGATCATTCTCTGACAGGGTACATTATTCCACAAAAATGGGAACAAAAGGGGCTGGGGATGTGGCTCAAGAGGTAGTGCGCTGGCCTAGCATGCATGCGGCCCAGGTTTGATCCTCAGCACCACATACAAACAAAGATGCTGTGTCCACCGAAAACTAAAAAATAAATATTAAAGTTCTCTCTCTCTTAAAGTTCTCTCTTTAACAAAAAAAAAAAAAAGTTTAAAAAAAATGGGAACAAAAAAGAAAACAATTTTACATTGTATAAGAATTGCCATTTTGCTTGCCAAACAAGCTATGCTAAACAACTGTTGATAGGTACAGAGGTGGGGTGTTCCCCTGGAAGAAGCATTCCTTACATGACATTGAGTCTTAGGGCAAAATGGAGTCTGTTTAGTCATTGCACATACAGCCTGGCCCAAAACAATTTCGAGGAACTGAGAATGAAACCCATAACCTTATGCAGGAAAGTCAAGAGAGTTGCCTTCCTTTCATGAATGAGTCACCAATCATTCACCAATAGCCTAAGTGCTAAATGTGTCTACTTTCCATTTTCTCTAAGTCTGCAAACTACTTTTCCATTTCCAGCACTGTAGAAGGCAAGGGCAGCAATAATCTGGTGACTATGTAAAGGAGAAGAAAATGAAGGAATAACAACAGAGAGAAATTGTATTGGCTCAAGCAGCTTGGCCCAGACACAGAGCACTGCATCTTCAGGTCAACTGGGCATAAACCTCAACTCACAGTGAAACGCACTGGGATCTCCTAGGAAAAGGAAAATGCAACTTGCCTGGATCTGGGGTCTTGGTAGTCTTAGCGCCATCTGTCTCTTCCAAGCAATGGCAGGGAATCCTGCGTTAGCCAACCTGAGAAGAAAGCAGCATGAAAAAGTCGTTGTAAGTCCTTCAGAAGAAAGGAAAAAGACCAGCCCACAACCGGCCCGATTCCCTACCAAAACAGGGGAACAGGTGGGTGAGATAAGTAAAAAAGAACACGACAGAGCTTCAGGCCAAGCACCTCTGCCAGCACAGGTGGGCAGTCTGGTTAGAACTTCAGTCCTGGCGGGAGCCAGCCTCACGCAGCAGAACCCCGCCTGGCCCACACACGCCTCCCTGCCCTACCTGCCCCAGGACCCGCCAACCCCTGAGGGGCTCAGGACCCGGGCTCCTCGAGGCGGCCAGACTCTGGAACTGAACGGTGAGAGACGACTACCACCCGAGCTGCGCGATGGGGTGAGAGCCTTGGCGCGCCTTCCCCAGGCCCGCGGGGCTGGGAGGTGGGGGAATCGGAAATGGCCGCGGAGGCCTCTGGGAAATGTAGTCTAAGTCAGAAGTCTTCTTTTCCCCCTCCCAAACCAGACTGGCATCAGCCCCTGGAGCTCTGAAAAACGGAGGACAGGAACTGTAGCTCAGTGGTGGAGCGTTCACCTAGTATGGGTGAGKCCCTAGGTTTGGTCCCTAGCGCCACAAAGAACGTTAAACTATTAAAAAATAAGTAAATAAAGGTCCCAGCTGGAGATTCTGAACTAATTGATCTGGTTGTTGTACTGGCATTATCATCATCATCATCATCAGTAGTAATATATATTAATTGTGCGAATTAATAGGACTCACTGTGATATTTCTGAAGCCAGTGTAGATAGGCAATCCTGTCAGATGGAGAAAATAGAGGCCAGTTTGGATCCAGGAACTTGGAGACTGCCCCTGAGGAATTGAAATGTTAATGCCTTCAGGAGCCCTGCCTCCACCCTTATCAAGATAGCCTGCCCCTGCTCCAATCTGTTGCTAAGGTAACCTGCCCCAGAAATTGTCCCTTCCTACAGGGAGTTTTAAAAGTTGTAAATTAATGTCTCCTTGATTGCTTCCTGCGTGGATCACTCCATTCTTGTGACCAAGCCAGAATGTTCAGACATGTCACTCAGAGTAACAGGTATGAGTTTACTGAAGGTATAGGAAAGTGAAAGGGGACACTCTCTAGGGAGAGAGTGGGTCCTCTGAGACAGGAGAGGGACAAAGTGCCTGTCCTGCAATCCAGTTTATTGAGGATTCCTGAGAAGTTTCCAGAGAGCCTTACCCATGTTCACCTCTTGACTTTTGACTGACAGCAAAATCACATCAGATTTTCAAGTCCCCACTGCCATGCCAACTCTAGGTTACTTTGGCCCATGCTGACTGATTCTAATTGGATGTGTGTGTGTGTGTGTGTGTGTGTGTGTGTGTGTGKKKGTGGTGGTGGTGGTGATGGTGGTGGTGCTGAGGATTGAACCCAAAGCTTTGTGCATTCTAGGTAAGCACTCTACCAACTGGTCAGAAGCTCAATGTCCAGACTGGTGCAAGCCTCAGGCTGCACAACTCCTGTGTTAAGGCCCAGCCCACACACGCTGGTCCACTCTATCCCCAGCCCCTAATTGGATTCTTAAGCACACATTTCTACAGATTTTTATGGTTAGGAGAAACTATTCTTATCTCCCAGAGTTTCAGGATCTGTTCATAAAAGTCCCCTGAGTTCCTCCCATGGACATTATCTTGGGCCACAATTTCTCCTGCAGTTAACAGGTAGTTTGCTGAGGAATGTGATATATCCTGTCCATTTAGGCCAGGCAGAGCTGTGGGTAAATATCTTCTTGGAAAAGAAAGTATGTGGGGGTCAGCACAGCGGGCCCATTTTATAGAATTATTCTCTTAACCCTGTGACTCCACCAGTCACATCTGTCTGTCCCACAACACCACCTATCGATATAAACCTAGTTAAGAAAAATATAATGTTTTACTGTAACTGTCTAATCCTTACTATTGTACAATCTTGCAGTTGGAGTTGGTCTGTCAGAGATACAATAATTGAAAGGAAATCTATGTGTACAGGCATGAATCCAATTGCACAATAAGGAGTCTGAACAGTCTACAACTAAATTGAGGGTACAAAAAGGTGCCGGCTCTAATGTGCGAGAACAGCAGGACACCAAAAGAAAGGTTTAATTTCTTTAATCCTTTCAATCAAGTGTTGACCTTCTGGAGTACTGCTTCTCAGCCAGGCACCCGGAAGCTGCAAATCATCCTGCTGTGTGTCAGGGACACAGTCCTGGAAAAATTAAAAGAAAAAAATCCCAGGAAAGCTGCCTGGTCTTTAGAGAAATGGGTAAAAAGAACCTGGCCTTCACCCTGCCTTCCGGCCACTCTTTGCCCATGGGAATAAAATTTGAGTTTGAAAAAGGAACACAGGGGCTGGGGATGTGGCTCAAGCGGTAGCGCGCTCGCCTGGCATGCGTGCGGCCCGGGTTCGATCCTCAGCACCACATACAAAAAAAAACAAAAGATGCTGTGTCCGCCGAAAACTAAAAAAAAAATGAATATTAAAAAATTCTCTCTCTTAAAAAAAAAAAGTTTAAAAAAAAAGAAAAAGGAACACAGTTCACTGCTTCTGCTGACAAATGAAATCTACATGGGCTGTAGGTGAAGGAGATGGAAAATGACACCCCCAGAACAAAGAAATGACAATCCCCCAAAACTGTATGACCAGGAGGAAGGGGTTGAGCAAGCAATCATTAATCCACTCCTTGTAAACTCTTTTCCAGTAACAGTGGGCCCCCTGGGGAAGGAAGTAAACTGTCATCCGTTCCTGGGTTCATCCTGAAAGGAAAGCTAGGAACCGAGAAATGAAAGAAGGAGACCAGGCAGAGATACACAAGAGAGTTTGTCAGAGCTGACAAATAAAGTCACATCTCTCCATAGATGGAGAGAGGCAATACGGGCAGGGATTAGAGCACGGCCGGTTCTAATGTGGGTGGTTAAGTGTGAGTTGGTATGAGGGAGTAGTGAGCCTTTCTCAGAAAGGCCCTTGGGCAGGAAAGAGAAACTTTTTCTTAAGATGGTGGCTGTCACTTAAGATGGCCATCCAGATGCTAAGCAAGGACCTTATAATCCCCAGCATCTCCACCAAAAGCAAATATTCATCCCTTCCCAACCACAATTGGTCCTGAAGGGAGGAGGCTGATACTGAAACTCTGGGCTCTGGACTTTTATTCTTTCCCATGAGTCTGGAAGAAGAGCAAATAGTGAAGCTCTGGGTAACAGAGGAAGAAGATAAACAGTGAATTCTGGCCAAGTTCAGAGCTTTTCCCAGTGACATTGAGTTTCAGGCTTTTTACAACTGCTTTCCTGACTGTCCAAACCAACATGTCCTACTTCAGTCTCCAATAATTAAACTGCCCTCATTGTAAACTATAAAACTCAGACTCCATCTGTAACCAGCAGCCATTTTTGTGCCCAGAAAATGAGCCTAATTGATTGACTCTACTCTGGAATAAAGGAAAGCTTGCTGATCCGTTTGAGGTCTGTTTCTGTCCTGGTTATTTGTATTTTCATAACGGTGCTGAAACCGTGTGGTTATTTTTGCTTATCGGAGGCCTCAGTGATTTCTTTCTGGGTTCTTATGGATTCAAATAAATCCACAGATGGTGGCAGAAGACAAAAATGAAAGAAATAAAGTTTGTTTTGAATGAGAGAAGAAAAGATGAAACTCCCTGTGCTTCTAGGAGAAAACTGGTAGAAAGTTTTCCACTTGAGTATACTATCTGGGGACTTTAGATTCTAGAAAAAGGCATTGGTCAGAGTCCCTGCAAAACAGACATTAAAAAGTATTGGGGCTAATTGCTGGAATCTATGTTGTCAAAAGCTTGGTCCTTGTCCCTTTTGCCAATCCAATAATGAGGACACAGTTTTGAGAAGGAAAGAAAAAAGATTTATTGTTTTGCTAGTAAAGGAGAAACACAAGGTACTCTTGTCCCAAAGGCTATGATTCTGCCCATCAGTAGGAATAGGGGGTTTTTAAAGAGGTGATTTAGAGAAAATGGATTAGGGAGTAGATCAGAAAGGAGAAGATGGAGCAGGGAGGTTAGGGAAAGGAAGATCAGGAAGGAGAAGATCAGGGAGAAGAAGGTTAAGAAAAAGAAAAAACATGTAAGTTTCAAAGCCACAGGGACATAGTCAAAGCATCATGCTGTATAGACAGATATTGGGAAGGTACTAAGGCTCTTGGCTTGGCCCATGACCTTCTATTTGGCTGTGTGCTTTTAGTTCTTAATTCTGAATTTTTTTTGTAACCTGTATGCAAAAATAACCAACATGGTTTTTGCACCATAATGAAAATTCAAATAACCAGGACAGAAGAAGAACTCAAATGGATCAGAAAGCATTTATTTTATTCTGCAATGAAGCCAATCAATCAGAAGGCTCTTTTTCTGGGTACAGAAATTGCCTACAGATTACAGGAGTCTGAGTTTTACAGTTTACAACGAGGGTGACTTGATCTTTGGAGACTGCAGATGTGCTGTTCAGTCAGGGACCTAGTTGTACAGATTAAAATTTTAATTCAGGAAGGCAGTTGTAAAAAGTTTAAAACTCATTATCATTGGGAAGAGCTCAGAACATAGTGTTCACTGTTTATCTTCCTTCCTCTCGCACCCATTGTTACCCAGAGCTTCATTGTTTGCTCTTCTCCTTCCCCGACTCTTTGACAATGGGAAAACGTAAAATGCTAGGGCCCAGTGTTTCAGTATTAGCCTTTTCCCATTGTGGTTGGAAAGGGATGAGTGTTTTGGTAGTATTGTTGGGTATTGGGAGACTCCGCCTGAAGTTAAATTTCTGTCTCGCTAGACATCACATAATCCCTTACCCCTCCCCCTCCTCTCCCAAGGGCGCCAAGCTGAAGAGCACCAAATTCAAAGGTTTTTCTCCACCAATCTCCAATGCACACAGTGTCCACTAGCCTTTCCTGAGTCACCCTGCCAATCAGCACCCGCCAGGTCGCCTAGGCAACCCTTCTTAAGCCCAAGCTTGCCAGCTCACGCTCTCTGCCACCTCCTCTCTTCCTCTCTGCTCTCTTTATCTCTATTCTCCTCCTCTCCTGTCTCTGCTCTCTGCCTCTCCTTTCCTTCCCCTTCGGGCAGCCCCCCGAAAAATCTCTTGTTGAATCTCCATCTAGGGTGAGTCACTTGCCTTTCAGTATTGGCATCAGATCAATATTGGCATCAGGTTCACCATTTTAGGTTGGGAGCCAGTTTATCTAGAGGCTCCAAAGTTTCTATTCTGAGGCAATGCTGTTTAACTTCCCATAAGAATGTATGCCTGCTCAACAGTCAACCCCACCCCAGATTAGGACACAACTTCTAGGCAGTTTATGAAATTCCTCTTGCAGACTATAAAGCTGCACTATGAGTGCCCACACACCGCTGCTCTCCTCCAAGGTAAGCCTTGTTGG